CCCATGAGACACAAATTTGACCTTTTTAGTCACTCTGTGCCTCTTTTTCTGTGCCCTTTGGAGGGACAGTTACACCTTGGTGTGTCCTTTGTGCTTCTTTAAACTGCTTGGAAAGGACCTTAAGGATCATCCATTCCTCCCCTGCCATGGCAGGGACACCTCCCACTGTCCCAGGCTGCTCCAAGTGTCCAATTCTGGACATTTCCAGGGATCCAGGGGCAGCCACAGCTGCTCTGGGCATTCTGAGAAACAAAATCTTTACCAACACCTGGAACTCGGAGTTCTTATTCCCATTCTCTTTCTGCATCCTCATCCCATGAGACACAAATTTCACCTTTTTGGTCACTCTGTGCCTCTGTTTCTGTGCCCTTTGGAGGGACAGTTACACCCTGGTGTGTCCTTTGTGCTTCTTTAAACTGCTTGGAAGGGACCTTAAGGATCATCCATTCCTCCTCTGCCATGGCAGGGACAATTTCCACTGTCCCAGGCTGCTCCAAGTGTCCAATTTTGGACATTTCCAGGGATCCAGGGGCAGCCACAGCTGCTCTGGGCATCCTGAGAAAAAAAAATCTTTACCAACACCTGGAACTCAGAGTTTTTATTCCCATTCCCTTCCTGCATCCTCATCCCGTGAGACACAAATTTCACCTTTTTGGAGCACCCTGGGACAGTGGGAGGTGTCCCTGCCATGGCAGGGGTGGCACTGGGTGGTCACTAAATCCCTTCCACCCCAAACCACTCTGGGATTCTGTTGCAACCCTGGCTACTGAAAATTTTAGAATTTCTGTGTTAACAGACACTGACTCCCAAGCAAACACTACATTTAACCTAAAAACATAGAAAAAATGTCCAAAATTAAATAATAAAACTACAATTATAAGTATGTAATTTCAATAAAAGTGGGTAATATCACATAGTAGAAAACTTACAGTTTAAAGCTTTAAAATAGAGTAATATATATAAAACAACTTAGAAGTTCTGACAGAAGCTTGTCCTTCTTTACTTTTTTCTTCACCTTCTTCTTTGTAAGTTTAAATAATATTATGTAATTAAATAAAAAAAATCCACATTACAAGTCACAAATATTTAGTTATTAAGTTAAAAATAATTTAAGTATAATTTATTAATTAAACAATTTATCCTTTAAAAAGCTTGTAAAAAAAACACAACTACATTTTTACCTCTCCTCTGTTTTAATCAGCGCATAATAAAATTGACTGCAGGAAAATAAAAATCACCCAAAATGATATTATTTGCTTTATGTTTATTCTGATTTTTTCCCAGGGGGAGGCTGCAACACTGCCCTGGTGACAAACATCTATGGGGAAGCTGAGCACGTGGAGGAGACCGTGAGTGAGGAATTCCTAATTCACCCCAAACTTTGGAGAACTCATCTGATCCCAAAGGTCAAATCCAGACTCCTGTCCTGGCTATGGTAGCCTGAGGCACAGCAGGCAGGAGCTGCTCCAATTTAGCTCACTGCAGAATAAATAATAATAATAATAATAATAATAATAATAATAATAATAATAATAATAATAATAATAATAATAATAACCATCCATTATATATAAATTATTAATGTAGTCCTTAATAATTAGTAATTATTGATATATTAATATTATTTATGTAATTATATACATTAATAATAATTTATTACTAATAATATATAATGTATAATAGCATAATAATATATTAATATAATATGATGTAATGATATAGTANTACCACACAGATTTTATATTTTATATCTTACATCTACTTATACCAACTTCTCCCCAAATACCTTCTCCAAAAAGCCACAAATAACTGAAAATCCTCCCTGTGAACGGACACAAACCCTTTGTGTTGGTGCAGGTCTTCAAATCAGCTGCAACATTCCTCAACATCCTGGTGACTGTCCGAATTTCCTACCTGGAGATCTACAACGAGGCCCTGTTCGACCTCCTGGCGCCGGCGCTGGGCCGCGGCTGCAAGGACAGCCAGCTGTGTGTCATGGACGGGCCCCAGGGGGTTTATGTCAAGGGGCTCTCCATCCACCCCGTCAGCCACGAGGAGGAGGCTCTGCATCTCCTTTTTGAGGCAAGAGAACCCAAATATTCCCTTCAATCCCGTGGTTGTGGGTGCTGGCTGAAGTGGAAGAGCAGGAGTGGGTGGCCAAGATGGTGGAAGGAGGTTCAGCCATTGAACCGCTCTTGGTTGTGGGGAGGAAACTCTTGGTCTTGCAAGGAAAATGTCCCTGGTTCAGGGATTCTGGAAGATGCTGCAAGAAAAGATGGTTTGGGGTGGTCATGGCTCTGTTGGAATTGACAGCAGGGCTGTTCAGGGTGAGAGGTTTGTGAGGGGATTTGATTACTGAGGTCAGCATTTTTTCCTCATGGATGCTTCAGTTGGTGAGGAAAACAGGGATGAATAATTGGGTCTGGCTGCAGGAAGTGGATCCTCACCCAGAGCCATCTGCTGTCCTTAAAATCTGTCTCTGGCCTTTTTAATAACCCTGTGGTGGCCTGAGCTCTGGGATGTGCAGGAGCTGCCTCTTCCTTTTTAAAGAGCAGGAGGAGGCTGGGAGAGCTGGGAATGCTCATCTGGACAACAGAAGGATCTGGGGAGGGCTCAGAGCCCCTGGCAGGGCCTGGAGGGGCTCCAGGAGAGCTGGGGAGGGACTGGGGACAAGGATGGAGGGACAGGACACAGGGAATGGCTCCCAGTGCCAGAGGGCAGGGATGGGTGGGAGATTGGGAATTGGGGATTCCTGGCTGGGATGGGATTCCCAGAGCAGCTGGGGCTGCCCCTGCATCCCTGGCAGTGCCCAAGGCCAGGCTGGAGCAGCCTGGGGCAGTGGGAGGTGTCCCTGCCCATCCAGGGGGTTGGATGGGATGGACTTCAAGGCTCCTTCCCACATCCCTTCCTGTTCCTGGCAGGGATCTCACCCTGCCCACCACACCTGTGGGAATTTTCAGCACCATTTGAAGCCTGGGGAGCTCTTTGCTTTTCCAGTCATCAGGAAATGGAAAGAGCCACAGAGATGTTGCTGGTTTATCCTCAAAAAGCCACAACTCCATGAGCTGAGCCTGGAATTTTCTCTCCTTTGGCAGGGTGAGACCAACAGAGTGATAGGAGAGCACAGCCTGAATAAGAATTCCTCCAGATCCCACTGCATCTTCACCATGTACCTTGAGGTGAGAGCTCCAGCCTTGTTCCTGTGGATTGGGACAACTTTCTAGGAATCCAAGGGGATCTTTGTTTTGTCCTGTATTTCAGTTTTGTCTGTCCCTAAGTGCAGTTTCTCTTCCTCTCTCCCTCAGTGTCGTTCCAGAGATTACACAAACCACAAATGCCTTAAATCTAAAATCACCTTAATTGACCTGGCAGGGTCTGAGAGGCTGAGCAAGACTGGGGTGAGTGCTGGGAGCTCCTCGGGTTCCTTTGGGAAAACAGGGAAGGGAACAGAGCTGGGGAGGGTCTGGAGCACCAGGAGGAGCTGAGGGAGCTGGGAAGGGGCTCAGCCTGGAGAAATGGGGATCTGGGGGGACCTTGTGGCTCTGCACAGCTCCTGACAGGAGGGGACAGCTGGCAGCTGGGGACAGCCAGGCTTTGCTCCCAGGGAACAGGGACAGGAGGAAATGGCTTCAGGGAGAGGTTCAGGTGGATATTTGGAATATTCCTCCTGGCAAGGGCTCTCCAGCCCTGGCCCAGCTGCACAGGGCAGTGGTGGAGTCCCCATTGCTGGAGGGATTTAAAATCCTTTTATTTAAATGGTCAGGGGTGGCCTTGACCGTGCTGGGTCATGGTTGGACTCGATGATCTAAGAGCAATTCCCTGATTCCGTGACATTGTGCATTGATCAGAATCAAAACAACCTCAGCCCTTCTGAGGAACCCTCCCTGTCCTGTGTGTGACCAGAAGTGTCTCCTCTTGCTCTCCATTGCAGTCTGAGGGCCAGGTGAGGGTGGAGGCCGCCTACATCAACAAGTCCCTGTCGTTCCTGGAGCAGCTGATCATCGCCCTGGCCGATCCCAAGAGGGAGCACATGCCCTTCAGGCAGAGCAAGCTCACCCACGTGCTCAAGGACTCGCTGGGTAAGGGCTGCCACTGCCCCCAGCTCCTGCAGAGCTGGACAGGGCAAGTCCTGAGCTCAGCATTTACCAGGGAATCCTGCAATGGTTTGGGTTGGAAGGGACTTTAAGGATCATCCATGGCAGGGACACCTCCCACTGTCCCAGGCTGCTCCAAGTGTCCAATTCTGGACATTTCCAGGGATCCAGGGGCAGCCACAGCTGCTCTGAGCATCCTGAGAAACAGAATCTTTATTTATGCCCATTCTCTTGTGCATCCTTATCCCATGAGACACAAATTTGACCTTTTTGGTCACTCTGTGCCTCTTTTTCTGTGCCCTTTGGAGGGACAGTTACACCCTGGTGTGTCCTTTGTGCTTCTTTAAACTGGCTGGAAAGGACCTTGAGGATCATCCATTCCTCCTCTGCCATGGCAGGGACAATTTCCAGTGTCCCAGGCTGCTCCAAGTGTCCAATTTTGGACATTTCCAGGGATCCAGGGGCAGCCACAGCTGCTCTGGGCATCCTGAGAAACAAAATCTTTACCAACACGTGGAACTCAGAGTTCTTATTCCCATTCCCTTCCTGGAACTCAGAGTTTTTATTCCCATTCTCTTCCTGCATCCTCAGCCCATGAGACACAAATTTGACCTTTTTAGTCACTCTGTGCCTCTTTTTCTGTGCCCTTTGGAGGGACAGTTACACCTTGGTGTGTCCTTTGTGCTTCTTTAAACTGCTTGGAAAGGACCTTAAGGATCATCCATTCCTCCCCTGCCATGGCAGGGACACCTCCCACTGTCCCAGGCTGCTCCAAGTGTCCAATTCTGGACATTTCCAGGGATCCAGGGGCAGCCACAGCTGCTCTGGGCATTCTGAGAAACAAAATCTTTACCAACACCTGGAACTCGGAGTTCTTATTCCCATTCTCTTTCTGCATCCTCATCCCATGAGACACAAATTTCACCTTTTTGGTCACTCTGTGCCTCTGTTTCTGTGCCCTTTGGAGGGACAGTTACACCCTGGTGTGTCCTTTGTGCTTCTTTAAACTGCTTGGAAGGGACCTTAAGGATCATCCATTCCTCCTCTGCCATGGCAGGGACAATTTCCACTGTCCCAGGCTGCTCCAAGTGTCCAATTTTGGACATTTCCAGGGATCCAGGGGCAGCCACAGCTGCTCTGGGCATCCTGAGAAA